TTTTTTCGCTTTACAAAGCGCAGGCTATTTTAATTATTGTGATCAATTTGCGCCGTCAATCCTGGCGCATGCGCGCTTCGCTGAGGGTAAACATCCAGCTTCTCTGACTGCAGCGCTAAGAGGGACTTCTGTGGGAGAACGGGGTTAGGATGGGGGAGGCGCCCCACGGCAGCAGCTGCCGACGGCGGCGGATGACGCATCAATCGCGTGACACAACTAATCGATGATGAAATTCGTTGCCAGCGCTTTTAAAAGTCGATTTTTATCGATTTTATCGATTCGTTGTTGCAGCCCTAGTTGAATAGCTGATCTGTAAACAGCTGATTCTCAGTCCTGCCGCTCAAATCAATACTGCGACCCTTAGAAGGATATTTGTTGACTCCATTTAAAACAAACAAACATGGCTTTAATTCTTAATTTGATTTGCCAGCTTGGGAAGTTAATTCAGAAACTTATTTTAAGAGAACATTATGTTGCAATTCTCTCTTATCTTAACCTTTCAAAACATCTTTAAATTGAAATTTAGAATATCTAATCTAAGCCGGCACAAAGCATTCCTCTTCTTTAATTTAATAGAAAATAGGATCACTAACATGCAGGGACTTCAAATGTAATGCATGCTTAGGTAGGACCATGTGTTACATTTCATCACGTCCTCCTCTTGTTGTTCAAAAGATGCAAATAAAAAAAAGGAAATAGGGATTGAACCCAGAAGTGGAGTATAGGGACCTAGACTCCTATTACTGTTTTTTCGGCACTGTTGAGATATTAAATACAAAAACAAACAATTATTTGATAGCTTCTTTGTGTTGTATGGCTGTGACTGCGTGGCACAGCCACACAGTCACAGCTACTGCTCCTGAATAGCATCTGGACGAAGCGTTTTAAATGGGCTTCTGAGGTTACCTAAGGGTCTGACTTTCTGTCGCTAAATTGCACATAGTAACTGGATTTGTTCGCTTTTTTTTATGTATTATAACTCTACTAAAACAAATAGTGGAAAAGAAAGTAGATAACTATTTGGAGCCATTTTTTGATGAAAAACCAGAATTCCTATAATAAGAATTCATCATAATGATGAACTTCTGAACTGAAATCTAGGTTATTGTTTGTGCTTTCTTTTTAATCGGTCAAATTGTCAGCCAATCAAATCTTGAGTGATTTGTAGTTTTTGTTTCTTTGAAAATTTTGTGTGTTTAGTTTATTTCTAAACAGGTTAAAAAGACAAGTATGTTTTATTATAAAAAGGGAAAAAGAATCACAATTTTGTGACCCGAAATACTTTAAAGTTGAGACTTTTGTTCCCAGTTACAAATAATTTGGACTCCAGTTCCCATCAACCTTAACTTACAAATGTACACAACCTCATTTAGATTCTTACCTGTTCATAAAACAAAAAACTAGGGATGCACGATATTATCGGCCCCCTATCGGTATCGGCCTTAAAACTGAATATCGGACATC